AGGACGGACCTTTTGTTCCCATGTACTCGTGGGATCTAAATGGAGACTACAGAAAACAACAAAAACAAAAGTGTTTCGCCTGAGAGTACCGAACACTCTTTGGAGAGTCGGGATTCAGGGCTTGAGATATTGCTGCAGGAAGAAAGGGCACATTTAACGTTAACTTCAGCCTCGGTAATATCGCCTCAGGATGAAATGAAACCTGAAAGGGAACAATATATTTCTGAGGCTCTAATACAGAAAAGTTCGGGACGATCTCAGGGTTCCACTGTTACTGTGGTCGAAGACCTAATGGCGAGATAATCCGTTAAGGGTAAAAAGCTCAGTGGCAGCGCAACAAGGAGGTTGGAGAATCCAAGGGTACAGAACCGGCAAGGGTCTCAACCTGCTTCATCATCGACTTCTATGCGGGCCAACAGTAAAGCTGGGTCTGTTGGTCAGGCACGAAAAGGAGTTCGCGCCGATAAGAGTCAGACACCTCTCCACAACAGGAGAAGAGAAGGAGGCAAAGACCCCTAGTTGGAACCGCCTAATTCTCCCAAGTGTCAAGATCTGGGATTGCACCTCGTTTCTGAGAAGTTCGCCTCACAAGAGGGGCGATTTTAATTGAGTGTCTTGACTCAGATTCTCGGGAGTGGTTAAATGTCCACGTACCAAATATCTGTCAGGCAATCGAGGGTCTGCCACTTAAAGTGATAGATACTTCTAACCTCATTAAGAGGGCCAGGGTGGTTGCTTGGGTACCAGGTCCTAAGGTGGACCAAGTTTCAATCCTGACTAACCTCAGGTAACAGAATCCTGGGGTGTATACAACTAATTGGAGGTTGTATTCGGGAGGTTAAACAGGATCAGGGGTAGTTTCTACGGCTGCAAGCTGGACTCTCGCGGTAGATGTGCCTGAGAGTAAGCTGGGTGTGCTTGAGTGTCTTCACTACAAACTGTGTTTCGGTCTTAGGCATATCACTCTTCGAGTGAGTAAGCACAGAATGGATCCGATGAGTTGTAGACAAGACACGGCTAGCGAAGCGACGGAGGATTTCGTGGATAAGTCTTAATATTGACGGACCACAGTATTCAATGTTCGCAGATTAACTTGCATCACTGTATAAGCGCAACGGCGATTCTAGCCAAGAACTTTACAGCTATTGCCTTCATTCAAGAACCTTGGGTTTACAAGTGTAAGATTAGAGAACTAAATAACTGTGGGGAGTTAGTGTATTCACCACAAGAATTACCACCCAGGGCGTGTATTTTCTATAAGGGAGTAAATACGGTTCCTCTTTCAGAGTTAACTAGTCGATATCTGGCAGTTATAAAAGTCATGTATCGAGATAAAAATGGAAGTAAGAAAGAGTTGATTCTTGCCTCTGGTTACTTTCCAAGAACAGAAAATGAACTCTTACCACCGGACAAGGTGTACTGTCAGTACTGGCCTCCCTGTTAATCCAGACAAGACAAATATTGTTTTCTTCACTAGAAAATACAAAGTTCCAACTGTGAGGAAACCTGTATTTTATGGAAAAGAAATGCTTTTTTCTGATTCGGTTAAATATCTAGGAGTGATTCTGGACAAGAAGCTAATCTTGAGAAAGCACTCAGAATATCAATATAGTATGTTTTGCACTACTTTTTGGATTTGCAGAAGGGCAATTATATTATCTTGGGGTCTAAAACCGGATATGGTTTTGTGGCTCTATTGTATGGTCCTGTTGACAAAGTTTCTGCATGCATCAATTGTTTAGTGGATTAGAGAAAACGGTTGAAAACGGTGAACTTCTGCCTTTGAGGTCTCTTTTGAACCATTCCTCTTCAAAAATATTTGACCGAATGGAAAAATATTTTTACTAAATATCTATAAGTACTAAAGTGTCTCGAAGTGTAAAAAAGTAATTTTCTTTACCATAATCCCTTTGCGCAGGATTTTTTGACATACTGTAAAAAACTCAATACAACATAATTTTACTTTACTGAACATGGAACAGGGAAAAAAAGCTATACTGCGCATGGTGATTATTACATTTTTATTTCAAGCAATAATTATTATTTTTGAAACGCATACTTTGAAGACTTTTGTTATAGTGTAGGTTGCATGTTAGTTTGCCCTGAATATATATATCGGGCTGAAAAAACTTGTACAAGAAAATGTACATGTTCTTGTACATATTTTTTGTGCAGGTTTCATGTACAAGTACTTTCACATGAACACGTTCATGTTCTTGTACAGAAACATTTGTTTAATAAATTTTATTATTTATGAAACGCATACTTTGAGGACCTTTGTTATAGTGTAGTGTGTATGTTATTTGGTCTTGGTTATGTAAGTAACGCATACTTTGAGGACTGCTACACTGCGCATAGTGATTATCACATTTCGATTTTAAGCCTTTGTTATTATTTATGAAACGCATACTTTGAGGACCTTTGTTATGGTGTAGTGTGTATGTTATTTGGTCTTGGTTATGTATGTAACGCATACTTTGAGGACTGCTACACTGCGCATAGGGATTATCACATTTCGATTTTAAGCCTTAGTTAGTATTTATGAAACGCATACTTTGAGGACCTTTGTTATGGTGTAGTGTGTATGTTATTTGGTCTTGGTTATGTAAGTAACGCATACTTTGGGGACGGCTACACTGCGCATGGTGATTATCACATTTCGATTTTAAGCCTTAGTTATTATTTATGAAACGCATACTTTGAAGTCCTTTGTTATAGTGTAGTGTGTATTTTATTTGGTCCTGGTTATGTAAGTAACGCATACTTTGAGGACTGCTACACTACGCATGATGATTATCACATTTCGATTTTAAGCCTTAATTATTATTTATGTAACGCATACTTTGAGGACTGCTACACTACGCATGATGATTATCACATTTCGATTTTAAGCCTTAACTATTATTTATGTAACGCATACTTTGAGGACTTTTTTATAGTGTAGTGTGTATGTTATTTGGTTTTGGAAGTAACGCATATTTTGAGGACTGCTACACTGCGCATAATGATTATCAAATTTCGATTTTAAGCCTTAGTAATTATTTATAAAACGCATACTTTCAGGACTTTTTGAAAGTATACTGTACACTTTACTTTGTCCAGATTATTAATGCAATGCATGTTTTGAGGACACGGTTGTTACAAACATTGTACTCAAATTATGCGTTCTGTACATAAAATTGTCCTCAAAGCATTCGTTGTATATATAATTTTGTCCCAAAATTATGCCCTGTACATATAAAAGACGTACAAGTACAATGCATTCTTTGAAGACATTGGCGGTATATAAAGTTTTAAGTCTCCAAACTATGCCTTGTGTACTTAATCCTTGATTTAAAAGTAGTAAATTTGAGTATAAATCAATTATTCCAATTGCATAATGTAGTATTTTTCATCAGGAACCTATATATGCGGCAAAAAACGTGAGTCCCCAAATCATGCTTTGTACATACATATATATATATATATATATGTATTTATAATTTTTAGTTCGCATTTGTTAAATATATTGACTGCGTTTCAACCTCATTTATTATATACTTTTCAAAACTGGCGTATAATAATAAAATAAAAAATGTTTTAAGTCTTTTACAAAATAGATTTTAATTTCAAATTTCTGCTAATAAAGACATTCAGAAGGTGTGTACACAATTGCATTTAATGTGTTGTTCTTAACTGTCCCGTCTTTAAATTTTTTGACGAGACAAATATGCTACTTTTATTATTTTTGTCCCATCTCGAAATATACAGAAGTAGGGTGGCGGGCCAAATAAAAAAAGTAGCTTATAATAGACACGTCGTTAATAAAATTATTTAAAAAGTTTATTTATTTTCAATACAATTTTACAAAATTTAAACTATACAAAAACTATTCAATTTTAAATTTTCAAAAATACAATTATCTGCAAAAAAGTGTGATTCTTGAAAAACCTAATTTTTTCAGAATTTTAAATAATAAACTCATTCGAAATTTGCATATATTACTTTTAGAAATAAATATTTAAATATTACCTATTATTTATTTTTATACAGTAATTCAAATATTCCAAAAATTTCATTTTAAAACCTTTTGAAATTTAATTATTTTTAAAACACTTCAAATTCTAGGTATTAAAAATAAAATTAATATATTATTACCTTTTTCAAGTCCTTTTCAAATGAAGTACGGAGTCAATATACCATGGAACCTCAGTTGAAACGCCGTCAATATATTTAACAAATGCGAACTAAAAATTATAAATACATATATATATATATATATATATATATATAAAATATTTAAAACACAATTAATTAATTAATTAATTAAACAATTACAATTTTATTACGCTGTGAAAAATGTAAAATTACATTCAATGTTTTAAAACTGCATATAGGTTATGTACACATAACCCACAATTTTTTTATTTTCAAAATAATATTATTTATTTTTTTAAGATTACTTACCTTACTTAATTAAATGCAACCAGCAATTGCAGCAATTATATTTAATTTATTTAATTTATAATTAAAAATTGAATCCCACCAGTATTTTCAACTGCGCCTCAGCGACAGTTGGCAATACGTTGCGCGCGCATCCAAGTACAATAAATTTGCACTTGTACTTGTACTTGGACTTGGTCTTGCATCTATTGTAGAACCTCCTTAAGGGAAATAAGCGCCGAATTGCTGGCTTCTGTAACAGCCAGCTTAAGGATTTCTTGAAACTTAATGCACTGTTCACAATGGTTTGCTTATTTTCTTCTGTGTTTTAGATTTTAAATATTTATTATTTATTAAAACAATTATCTGAGTTCAAATCGATTTTAAATTCTTAAAAGAATTTACTTGTTGAGAAAGCTTTTTCAAATTGTTTTCTCTTTAAATCACAGAAATTTAAAGAAGTTTATAGTAAATTATTAAACTTATAATAATTTTATTTCTTATGCAATAATTAACGTAAATAATTAGTTTTTTTTATGTATTATTTTTTTTTTAAATAAAAAAACAACAAATTTCACTCAAACAGAAAAACTTGATTTATTTAAAACTTCAATATTGTTTTTGAAATTGAGTCTTGATTCGCGACTTAAAAGAATAGATTCACTATCCTGATAATCTAACCTTTCCTTTTTATATTTTATCGCGTTGAAAGAGACGAGTTTTCAAATCAACGCACTTGAAAATCGCTCAAAAATCTAACTCTCTACTCTAAAATTTAGCTTTTATATTTCTCTTCCTACTCCTAACTTGGGTCCCTTTTCCCCCAATTACTCTGTCATCCAATTACAGCATACGGTTTGGAGTCCATGTTATGTTTTATTACCAATCACATTCATTCTCTGCCCATTTTTTCAGGTACCATCTTGGATTTTTACACATGATTCACTCAACATTTCCGCAACGTATTTTCTTAAAATGAGTCATAATAATTGCGTTTTACTAATGCATGGTTTCCCTAATATTTTATTTTTGAACAATTTTCACCCTCTTTTGATTGACATATAAAATTTCTCTCACAAGATTTCTAGTCTTTTACGCAGTATTCTTGTTTTTTCTGAGAATTTCTATGATTTATCCCTTTTATTACCTCAATTTTATGGATTTATTTATTTAATACGCAAAAGATTTTGCGTTTAGAGACACCTGCACATTTATTATGAATTTTATCTCTTTATTTGTGAATATTTTACGACTTGAAATTTTATTATTCTACGTTTTATCCTAAATTAAATGTTGATTACATTTCTTTATTTTATGCGTATAATTTTATTATAATTATAATTTTATAATTATCAAGACTCAATTTTTTTTTTCTGCAGCGAAGCTTAACAAGTACTCGTATTCACCTAGAACAATCCTCTAGAGAAAAGGGGAAACTGCAGAAAACCCTTTCTGAGTACTTATCTAAAAATAATTATTAACATTAATTATTAAATTACTTGAATATTTTCTTTATGAATTTTATAATCTTAACCCAATTTGTTTGTACCCAACGTTTAACTTTTCATTATTTTATTTTATTATTATTTATTTATAAGATTCTAATTTCAATAATCACTCTAATTGTTTTATTAAGATTATTATATATAATCTCAAATCGATTTTTAAAATTAAATATATACATATTATTTTCTAAATATTTATTTTTGTGAATAAGTCGGCTCAAAATCCATAAATCAGACCATTTTTGCAACAATTTACATATATAAATTACCATTTATATTTTACATTCACATTTTACGTTATGTTACGTAAGTTTTTACATTTTCTCATAATGTTATTGTAGAATCGGCCTTCGGGAAGCACTCCCAACCTCTAAACAGTGACCCAACCTAGACCTGACAATGTTACACTCTCCCCCTTATAGAAAAAATTCGATCTCAAGAGCGAATTTTTTTTCAATATTATACTATATAATAATAAATAATATAATGAGTGAAATGGTGCTCGAAAGGAACTATTTGTGCATTCTTTTCGTAAGTATTAATTGTAGTTGTTTTAATACGACTAATGCTTCATTTTTTTTTGTTTTAAATTAAAATACCTTTATTAATAATTCACTTTTGGTTGAATTAATTTGAATTTTATTTATTCATTCTCCCTTTTTCTTTGTTTAAATGACTTGTTATTCCTTTTATACTTTGACAGATTTCCTAACCTCAAAATTGTTTTAATGTTTAATCCTTTTCTTTCCTTCTATATCTATATTATTTGTTATAGTTAAATACTTTATTACCTTCCCCCCCTTTTTTTTTTCTTTTTTTTTTTTAACTCTCAATAATATTAATTTTTCCCTTCTTGTTTCAGGTTATTGTTTTGGATTATTGTTGGCCAATATTTCATCAGATAAGCATAATTTTATACATAATTCTTTAGATCCCCTTTTATAATGTAATTATTATTTAATTTTCATTTTTTTTTTTAAATGAAATTTTGATTTTTAATTTAAATTAGTTTTAAACAATTTTAATTAATTTGATTTGCCTTTAAAAAAAAATTATAGTTTTAATAAGAATTAATTCTTTGTGGTATTTTTTTTAGCTCTTTGGAATCCCGGGACCAAGTTAATTTTTTGTAAAAAAAAAAGGCTGTTTTCTACGTTTTTATAACAATATTTTATTAGTAAGTATATTGTTTTGTGCTTCCTCGTCATGTCATTGTTTTATCCTAAGTAAGTATAGTCATTTACTTCAACTTAATTCAAGTTTTAATTTATCATTTAATTTTGTCTTCCTATTAATTCGTTCACTTATTTTCAGCCCCCCTTTTTTCTGAAGCCAATTATTTCTAAACCCGTATTCAAAAGAAGAATTTCTGGTCCAAAATACAAAATGGAATATCCCATATGTCATCAGAAACCATTGTCAATACACAGAATCAAGAACAAGTCTAGGATTCAAACCGGCCAAACAATATCCCCAACAAACCACAATTAAAAGGATTCAAGAAAAACGACAAATGGACTCATAGAAAATCTAAAACCAGGTAAACAACTTTATTAAATTGAGACCGCCTAATGTAAAACTAATTTTAACCTTCAGTACCAAACTTAAAAAAAAGGTTGTAACATTAACTTGAAAACCTGTGATCCTGTCAATTTCAGTTTAAAAATATGTAAATATCCATACAATATTTTCATATATATATATATACATACACATATACATATATATACACATATACACATATATATATTCAAAAAAAAAAAAAATTTAAATTTTTTTTTTACTTTTGTGTAACTTATATATATTTACAATAAATTGAACCAGTTTAAATATAAAAATGTTTATTTTAAAGGTACTAACAGATTAAAATAAAAAACTTTACACATTTTAATTTATTTTCCCTAATATAATTAACTTACACTGGTACTAATAGTCTATAAATTTTTCTACAATTTTAATCTCTTTTCCCTATAAAAAAAATTATAAACCTCTTAGTTATAATTCCCTTTTTGTTCATCATTTTTTTTTTTATATATATATTTTTGTTTTTTTTTGTTTTGTTTTTTTTTACAAGAGAGACAATTTTCTTTATAATTCTGCTTCTTCGACTATTGGTTCCTCAAATTGTTGCATTCTCTGCCAATTTTTTGCGTAGTTTACTCTACAAATTGTGCAGAATTCCCCATCTTGTCGCTCCATAAAAATTTGGTTCCCACATCTATGGCATTTTTGCCCGGCTTGACACAATACTATTCTTAAGTCATGGGGTTTCATAGCATGTAGGCACCAGGCCTTAAACGGAGGTTTTCTAAAAACGCTGATATCCTTTTTTTACATTCTTTTTCGATTCTTAAAATTTTTTCTTCGATCATATTATCGAGATCTGCGCAGGATTTGCATAATTTAATATCATCTTTGTATCTTTTATAATAAATAATTTGCTCGTGCGAAACCCAAAGAAAACCCTCCCAAAATCGTCCTGATCCCTTAACGATTTTTGAGGGATCTTCCGCAATAGTGATTTCAATTGCAGTGTCGAGAAGACTAGGCTGAAATTTATATCTTACATACATATACATATGTACATTCTTTTTTACTAAATCTTTATTTTATTAATTTATTTGTATTATTTATACAGAATGTAAATGATTAAAGTTTTAATTGACTCTACTTTTAATGAATCCTAAATTTAGCTGATCCGGATTCCAAATTATTAAAATTTCATTAATTACTAAATTAAAAAAAATACTGAGATCCTTGAAATTTACATTTATTCAGATTATTTTTTTTTGTTTTATTATTCATATGTATATATACACACATATATATATATATATATATATATACAACACAATTTAATTTCCCCCCTTTTTAAAAAAAAAAAAACTCGACATATAATGTTCTCTCTTTTCTCCCCCCTCCTGTTTTTTTTTTTACTTTTTAAAGTCGAATTGAGACCCGATATTAAGCAAGACAATGCAAAGCCATTTTCAAAAATGAAACGCATAAAACAAATTTTGCATATATTACTAATTATATATATATATTTTCATTTACCCATTCATTTTCCCTCTGAACGTCGACACTAATAGCTCCAACCTGACTCATTTTGAAATTCGATTGTTTATCCATTTATTTATTCTATTCTCAATCCTTTCATTGCGACTCGTTACAATAATCAATAATTATGTTTATAGATAAGAGTCCTTTGTTGGTTTTTTTGTTTTTATTAGTTTAATATTCTCCCATTCTATTCCTATGGCGCTATGGTATCAATTTCTAAGAAGCATAGATTTATTTCCTAGAACATTTAAGGACATCCCAAAAGAGTCAAAGCTCCCATGGGTGTTAGGCATCGGCCCAAAAGTAATTCGTAATTTTTTGTCCAATCAGAATAATTGACAGAAGCTATTTATTTCAGGATTTTAACTTTCCCAAATTTAAAATAATAAGTGTTCTTAATCAGAAAATAAGAGTAACTATGTAAAATTCATTATATTATATTTTTACTTTCTCTTTAATTTTCAATTAATTTAATTAAATTTATAACCTATAAACAAAATATACATACATTTATAGTTCATTCCATATTTTATTATAACTTTTGTTAACAAATACAAATCCATTGAATAGGATTTGAAATCTGAAAATTTTTACATACATACGCATAAATACATATATTATTTATTTATTTCAATTATTTTTTGTTTTATAGTTAAAATTGAAAGTTCTATTTGAGTATCAGACTTAATTAAGTAAAACTAACTTTAAATAAAAACAAACTTTTACCAATGATAAATGCGGTGTTTTATTTATTAATTCAACAATCAAGCAAATATCAATTAGAAAAAAATAGAATTTTAGACAAACAAGTCCTTTTAAGGACTTAAATGATAAAGAGTCCGAAAAAAAGGTTAAAATTTAAAATCATAAACTAAATTCGAAAGAAAAGATCATTTTTCAATTTTGAACAACTCGAACAACATTGCAGATTCAATCTCCGGTGTAAAACACCCTAAATTCAGTTTCCAAAGTTAACAATTTCAAAAAGGCATGTTTTAAGCGATTAGTATGTACTACTTTTGTTTTTCCGGGTTTAATGTGTATTTCAATATTTTGTTCATTTATAACATTTAATATTTTATATGGTCCCGTATAATGGTCTTCCAATTTATTTTTTCTAGGTTCTTTAACCAGATAAACAAATTCACCCTCTTTAAAGGTTTTTACGTTTAACTTTAAATCGTAATATTGTTTACAACGCTGTTTAGCTGCTAATAACCTATTTACCACTATTGACTCGGTTTCTGAAATCCGATTCAACAGTTCTTTTATATAAAAATCATAAGTCATTGGGATTTGTTTTCTAGCAAATTCGGATGGGATTCGCGCTTTCCTTCCAAAAATCATTTCGTGAGGTGTTACTCCTGTAGATTCATGCACAGAAGTATTAAATGAAAATATTGATGATACTAACCAACAATCCCAATTGGTTTTGTCACAATAATGTCTAAGATATTCTATGAATGTATGATGACTTCTCTCCAAAGCCCCTAATGACTGAGGATGGTATGCTGTAGATTTAAATTGTTTAATTTTAAATAATTTTGCTATTGTATTCATAATTGATCCAACAAATTGGGAACCCTGATCAGTTTGGATAGCCTCAGGACAACCAAATAAGCAAATAAAACTATCTACAAACGCTGTAGCAATTGTGACTGCATCTGTTTGAGATAAAGGGATTGCACCGGAATATTTACTTAGGCAATCTTGCCAAGTAAGAATATACTTATTTCCTGCCGCGGTTTCGGGTAATGGTCCTACTATGTCCATTTGTACCTTTTCAAAAACTCTCTCAGGTGTATCAGTGATTTTCATTGGTTGTTTAGTTTTGACTCTAATTAATTTTTTCTTTTGACAGGATTCACAAGTTCTTATGTAATTTTGAACATCCCTTTTCATTCCAAACCAAAAATATCTTTCCCTTATTCTTTCTAAAGTTTTCATTACCCCCTTATGTCCCCCTACAGTACTATCATGACATTCCTCAATTATAGTTAATTTATTTTCCTCGGTCGGTATTTCGACTTCTCCAGTACAGATTCACGGTGGGTTTTAAGCGATTATTATGAAAAGTCAAAATAACCCAGATTTTTCTTTTGGGATGTTTTCTACAACAAAAAAGAAGATGTTTGCAACAAAAATGAAAATCATCCATCGGTCCCTTTTTGAGAAAATTGATTTTTTCTACAAAATCGCATGATTCCTACCTTTTGAATAGTTTCATGCAAATAATGTTTAAAATTGCATATATATATATACTCTGTTCCAGGAGAAATCGATATTTTTCAGGACGAATTTGGGCCCTTTACGCGCAGAAAACTATAAAAGGAGGCGTATATTATTTTCCGTTTCAGCAAATAAGCTTTCTCTTTCAATTTCTTTTAAATTTGAAGAAACATGTTTATTGACAACTAAATTTTTTTTATCCATTTTAGGGTCGTTTAGATTTTATGGCATTTTGGTGCAAAATAAAAAATATTTAAATCCAAAGAAATAATTTTTTAAATATTAAATTTACCATTTGCAGATTTTGACGATTCCAACGATATAAATTTTTACGTCTAAATATTAAAATTTGCTTTTGGAAAAGTTATACGATTTCATGATTTACATATGTACAAACTCTAATCTTTTAGTATTTGCAAAAAAATTTATACCGTTGTAATTGTTTTAACCTGTACATTGCAAATATAATATTTATATAATTATTTTTTGAAATTCCAACATTTTTTAATTTTGCAATGAAAAGCCATAAAACCATAAAAGATCCTTCCGACCAGGCTCGCAGGTCACAAAAATTTTACATATGTTTGCTTGATTTTAGTTTTAGGAAAAGCAACACATGTTACAATCCGTTTCATATCATTGGCTATGTTTTTCAGAAAAAAAATCTAGAAAACGCCTTTCTCACTTAAAAGTACACCCTTTTACAACAAGATGCGCAGAAAAATATCGATTTCTCCTGAAACAGATTATATATATATATAATTATATGCAATTTTAAACATTATTTGCATGAAACTATTCAAGAGCGAGGAATCATGCGATTTTATAGAAAAAATCAATTTTCTCAAAAAGGGACCGATGGATGATTTTCATTTTTGTTGCAAACATCTTCTTTTTTGTTGTAGAAAACATCCCAAAAGAAAAATCTTGGTTATTTTGACTTTTCATAATAATCGCTTAAAACCCACCGTGGATTGTTATTCTATAATTTCCCTCTTCAAATATTTTTTTAAAAGTGTTTTCTATTAAATTCCAAGGTGTTTTATCAAACCCATTCCCTTCTCTTGCTAAGCTAAATGTTTTACAACCTTCACTATCGATTGCCCCCTTTAAAGTTTCCACCGCAGCTTCCAGATTTTGCAAACAGAATGCATCATTGAATATTTCTTTTATGAATAAATGAAATATCTTATATTCTCCAAGCCTTTTACTAATCACTTGACCTACCTCTACATCTAAATCTTCTTCATTTTCAAATTTAATCCACCCCATTTCTTTTAATTCTTTTCCTTGTGGTGTAGAAATTACTAAATCACAAGATGAAAATGTAATTAAATTATCTTCCCTCATCCATAAACATTCATTTGAAAATTTAATTAATTCATTTTCTACAACTTCGTTTTCTTCCTCTGTATCCGATCCAGGCAACGCCAATACTCGCATCTCTTTTTTTTATTT